GCAGTTCCTCCAGTGTGGGCACATGCAGTGGCTTCTCCTCGAAGACCAACTGGGCCGTGTTCAGCTGGCTCTGGCTCATGTTTTCTATTTGCTGGCTGCTCGAATTCGAATGGCGCTCGTTAAAGTCGCGACTTGATCGATGTTGCTTGGAAATGCGACTGAGTAGCCGCAACTGCGCACAGCTCGCCTTTGGGTTGGCTTGTCCTATAGCTAACATTGCCCGCTCATACAGGGTGACCCGTTCGATGATAAGATAAACCGCATTTCATAGATTTTCCACAAACATATTTGATTAGCACCTAAACTTCTTTTCTTTTGGACACTGAACGCACAGGCGGACAGACACGCCTTAAGCTCATGTTTTCGCTCTTGGAGATGGCACATTAAATGGCACAGTAGTCATTCGTCTTAAGGGCCAACAGACGGAGTAAGAGCTATATATTTTATACATCAGTTCAGATTAAATTATAATAACGATATAGTCTAAGAATTGACAAGGTTTTCAAGTAACTATCATTTCTATATCTCTCTCTCTCTTTCTCTCTTGTCTTGTCAATAGCAGCGTTCATTACACAAAGAGGAATTCAGACTGCTTCCCGATTAAGAAGTCGAGAAACTATTCAATCAATCAGTTTTATTTTCAGGCAGTTTAGAAATTCTTGAAACTTTCAGTTTAGTGAAAACTTCAGATAAGAAATATAATAATAACACTTAACCTGTATCCATACTATTTCAATGATTATTTGTAGCCCAATCTAAATGGTTTTTATGATAGAGCTGATCTAGAAACTGAGAATTGCTTAATGCACTCTATGAAACTGAACAACTTTGGAAAACTTGATATTTGTATTGCTGTCACACTCCTAATAGACTTCTATTCTACTTCTTTTTATGCGCCTTTCGAACCCACACGACTGTTTCGTGTATTTTTATATGGATGTCTTTAACCTACCCTACGAATAATTTCCACGCGCCCGATAACTTTCCCCTTCTGTATATTTTGTCATGGCCGTTAAAACTGGAAACCAGTTTCAGATTTGATTTCGACTCGACTTCTGCATTCTAGTTTACATATTCGAAAGGCTTTTGTGTGAAAAAAACCATAAAAAGTAATAAATACAAAAATGGACAAAAGACTCGGTTGGACCAAATGTATTATTGGCATTTTACAAATTAGTCCATTTCTCCACGGAATACAGTTAGAAGAGAATGCTCGCTCGGGGCGTCGGCTCATTCCATTGATGAAATTCTGCACTAAGCTGTCTTTACTGTACTGTACAGTTAAGGCCCTTTGGCCATTCAAAGGGTCTCTCTATTGAGTCACTACTGTACTGTACGGTATACACACAAGTGATAAGAACTGTTTGCGCACACTCTTGGGGCTTAGCTCTCATCTGCGATAGTGCAACCACAGAGATAGTTGGGGCTGGCCGCAGACCTGAGCTATTGTCACATTCGACAGCCCAGCACTTGGTGGCAGTTCCAGATAAGGCTTGCCCTGGACTCCCCTCGGCAATTGGGACAAATTGAAGTGTTGCCTGGGTGTTAGGTTGATGAATGTTGCATGATGCTGACCCGAGCATATGATTGACCCGCTCTCGACCCACATATCAGCAGTGCTTCTACTGTGTCCCCATTAGCTGACGGATCGCCTTTGAGGAACTCTGCGACACTCGCTACACTGCGCGAAAAGCTGGGCTCCATGCCAGAATATGACGGTCATTCATACAGCATTCAATCAGCTATTAGAGATAATTAAAAGCGTTTCCAATACAGCAATTTGCAGCTAAGCCACGTCTAGACCTGATTGCCGAATAGAACCTGCTGCCGGTTTTCGCTGCGTGTACGCCATTGACGCATCTAATCACACTGGCCATGTCCATGTCCATGTCCATGTTCATGTCCAAAGAGATTATTACCAAAAGTGGTCCGAGCAGCCTCTCAGTCCATCACACAGATTGTTGATCATAATTACGCGAAGAGGCAGCGGTAGGCGGGAGGCGGGAGGCGGTAAGCGGGAGCTCTTCAATTCTCAATTGAGAACATTTGCCAAGGATTGCCATCTATGCAGCAGGCTGAGCTCATTGTGCTCCGGCGTCGACCTCAATAGGCGTCTTCAAACGAGCTCGAGTGACACAATTCCAGAGGCCCATTCGCAGAAGTTGGTCGTTCACTTCACTTTTGCGCTTTTTTACCTCACCAACTGGTTACGAACTATGTCGACAACCACACACACACACACACATTCACATACATACCAATATACAAAGAACATTCAGTGATCATTCTATTTGTTGATTAATCGCCATCCATGTTCCTGTCACATTAGGCAATGCTTGACAACGGAGCAACACAATCGTAATGGGCAATCGCAGCGGGGCACAGAGATCGCCAGTCGGAGTCGGCGCGGGCTACGAGGGCAGCTCCCAGTTCAATACGCGCCGCCGCTATCAGCAGCACAAGCGGGAGTACTGCCTGCAGGATGAGTTTCGCTCGAAGACCCTGCCCGCGCGCTATGCACAGAACGAGGCCAAGGCTAATGAGGAGCATCTTGGCTCGAGCAGCTGTCTGGGCACAGGCAATGCGTCGCAGGGCGGCGAAACGTCGCGCATGCTCTTTCTGCTCTACCTAATACATCGCACCTGGAACGTGGTCACGAGGTAATTAGTCATGAAACTCCGCCATCCACCTATTACTGATTGCCTTCTACTTCTGCAGTCGCTCGACCACCCAGAAAGTCTCACCTGTGGAAGCACAGCAGCGTTCACGTCGAGCTGACGAGGAGTGCTCCATTGGCATGACAGACATGGATGCCTCCTCCTACTGCTCGCAGTACTCGAGCTGTAGCTGCAGCTACTGCTACGAGGATGCCCTGGATAAGCGCACCAATGCGGGCAGCTCGAATGCAGATGAATATTCTCTCGACTCCATTTACGACAACGGCAAATACATGGGTTACAGGTGAGCTAAAGCAAACAAATTTGAGTTTACCGCCTGCACAGCCTTCATAGCAAGCAGCTTGAGTCAGCTAGCATCTGAAAAGAAGTGTTGCCTACCATTAGGCTGCCTGTGTAAATAACTAAATGAATGCACTGCTTGTGTGAGTAGAAATGAACTGCTTGGCAGTTGGGATTCAAACACATTGGAATTTTCTATATAATCATTTATTCAAGCTTTAGGTTGTCAAGTTTAGAAGCAGTCGTTGATGGAGGGGAGAGCACCATCGCAGTACTTCCAGGTGGACCATGCGGTCCAGCCCTGCTGGCTGAGGATCTTCTGGGCGCAACGGACGGAGTTGGTGATGTCATCGGTCAACAGGGCGTTGCAGCTGAGGGCGCACTCGTTGTAGGAGAAGCGACCGCTGGCAGGCTGGCACCAGTAGTAGTCGTTGATCTGGAAGATGCCGTAGTCGTTGGAGCCGTTGTAGTTCTCGGGGCCAACAACGCCGGTGCGGTAGGAGCTCTCGTGCTCGGCAATGCAAGTCCAACGGGCCAGCTGGTCACGGGGAACGCCCAAGTCGGCCATCTCGCGGGCCAGGGAGCAACGGTTCATGGTGCGACCGAAAGCGGGGGCGGCCAAAGCCAGAGCAACCAAAACAATGAAAGCCTTCATGATTTTACTTCAGTAAACTGATGTCGAACTTGGAAATGTTTTCCTTTTTATAGGCGAAAACTTATCTTAGTCTGTGCCGCAACCGATATCAGAAGTGCGTCTAACATAGCTCTTCTAGCTGACATGCAAGTTTCGTTTACTTTCTGTCTAAATTAGTCAATCGATGGAGTATTGGTATTTGATAAGCATGTTGGAAATCCCCTCAAATTTGAATAGGCGAAATTGAGTGCACTTGACATTATATAATCTCTGGCTGAGGTGCTTGGCGTATCTTCAATTTATATATTAGGCATCCTCGATAGAATTTTTAAAAGTGTATAAATAATATAGAAACTTTCTATTATATCATGTGCCACAGTTAAGAGCCTTGGCTGGCCTTAACTTCGAGAATATCAGAGAAAGTATTGCATACTTTCAATAGAAACTTCAAGAGGCTAGGAATCGGTAAATCAAAATTTGCATTTGCTTATGACACAGCAGTTATGTTATCGCGTCTGCACAGTAAATATTATTTAAAATGTCTGTGTGATCAAGCTCAGATAAATTCAAAAAGGTGCTTTAATTTTGCTATAATCAAGTCGCAATTCGCAAACTACTCTAGATAGCAAATCCTCAGAGATAATAACTCCTATAAAATGGAAAGCATTTCCATAGTTCGACATCAGTTTACTGAAGTAAAATCATGAAGGCTTTCATTGTTTTGGTTGCTCTGGCTTTGGCCGCCCCCGCTTTCGGTCGCACCCTGAACCGTTGCTCCCTGGCTCAGGAGATGTCCAGCTTGGGCGTTCCCCGTGACCAGCTGGCCCGTTGGGCTTGCATTGCCGAGCACGAGAGCTCCTACCGCACCGGCGTTGTTGGCCCCGAGAACTACAACGGCTCCAACGACTACGGCATCTTCCAGATCAACAACTACTACTGGTGCCAGCCTGCCAACGGTCGTTTCTCCTACAACGAGTGCGCCCTCAGCTGCAACGCCCTGTTGACCGATGATATCACCAACTCCGTCCGTTGCGCCCAGAAGATCCTCAGCCAGCAGGGCTGGACCGCATGGTCCACCTGGAAGTACTGCGATGGTGCTCTGCCCTCCATCAACGATTGCTTCTAAGCTGATCACAATTGATATTTGAATAAAAAGAGAAAAAAAGTATAAGCTGAAATTGGTCTGATTTAAGATACTCTTATACTCGCACAGAGCGTCTTATAAAACAGCTCACGCACACTTGAAACGAGTTGAGAAAGTTAAGTCAGCCGAGCGCTAAGCGCTGAGAGTCGAAAGCCGAGAGCTGAAGTAGAAGTCAACGTGCATCGGAGCTCAGTTTACGGTTGCTCGGGCTCGGCTCAGCTGCCTCAGTCGGTGCGTGACTTCGAAGCGAAACGGACGTGTTTGTGGTGTGTGGCGCAGTGAACGAGCGAGCGTCTTCGATGAATAACTGTGTTTAGCTTAGTTAAAAATAGACGAACGATGGCTTTGCTAGTCGTGCCTCAGGTCTAACAAAGTGCATTCGTCAAATACAATTGAATGTTTGGGCAAAGGTTCTGATTGGCTGGGAATGTTGTTAATTTGACAACAGCCACGGCTGCATCCACCTTCACTCGAGCCTTGTTACGTGTCGCCGACGTGATTACGCGAGATATATTTACTTATGATCACATATGGACGTGTATGTGTTTGTGTATTTATGGACAGTTGTGCGTTCTCGTGAGAAACGAGTTTATATTGGTTAGAAAAGTGCCGTCTCCTTACCGTTCACTATCCCCTCGCTGCCCTCTCTCTCAATCTATCTCTCTCGCACTCCTTCGGCATCTCGAGCGCGCGAGCTGATTGCATTCTAACGGTAAAACGAGTACGACTCTGACAACTGGCCCCGGCTTGGCCTGTGCTGTGCAGTGCTAYGCTGTGCTGTGCTGTGTTGTTGTTATTCTTATGGCCTATTGCAGCATCTACAGCAAACAGCAATAGCAGCAACAACAACAACAATTGCAACCGTAACTAAGTAGCATAAGAAGTTTTGCGCGTTCGCTTTGTGCTAATCTTCTCAATTTATGTTTCTTGTTCTTCGATGACGCTGCAAAGTGCACGAAAGCCAACTTTTCCAATCACAAAACAAATACATGCATACCTGAAGAGTGTATGTGTGCATGTGTGTGCGTGCGTGTGTGTATAGACTTTTTGAGTACATTGTGTGTGTTGAATTGGCCCAATTTGGATTCGTGTCATTTTGCTCGCATTTGCTCCAAATTGGATTTCGTTTTTGGCCTAGAAGTGTGAACGGAATAAAGCTAAACGAGGTAAGAGAACAACACCCCTCAGCCCCACAGCCCCATTGCCCCCTTATTCCCCACACACTCACTCAGTGGTCAACTCGGCATGCAGCTTGGTTGCCCATGACCTCGCATTGTTCTCCGGCTGCTGTGCGGCTCTGGCTGGCTGATACGCCCACCGCCTAATCTACATCTTATGCATACATATATGCTAATAGGGCTCGACTTTCTCATCACAGCTCACTCACGGCAAATCCTCTCGAGCTTGGGTTCGCGTGGGCAGCCCTGGCATTGAGCTGCCAACGGTTTTTGTTGATTTTTTTTATTTTTTTTTTCTCTTTTAATTTGATTGCGTTTGATAGAACCACTTGAGAGACAACGACGGCTCGTTAGGCTGACAGTCGATGCTATAAAAATATTGTGGCCATATAAATTGCTGCGTGTGTGTCGAACTAAAATACCAAAAAGGAAAGAAATAATAAGGCTCGATTGTGATATACTCTGTAATTTGATTTTGCTTTCCTTAATAGGTGTAAAGTCAACTGAACCATTATCTAATCAGTTTCCTTTCAAGCCGGTCTAAAAACAACTTACGCTTGCCTGTTATCTATATATTATGACATGTTATAGACCCGGAAAATGTAGAGCTACTTACTTCAGACTTACCATTTCCCAAAGTGCTGTACTTTCTTTCTCTCGACATTAAGGGGCTCAGCCATTCTTGCCTTTAGTAGATTCTTTCTATCAGTAACATCCGTACATAGCAGCACAGTATACTCTATTCCGATTACTACGGGGTATACCAAAACATATACAGACATAAGACAAATTACTATTAACCGTACTCGAAAGCGGCAAAAAGTGCAATTCCATTTGATGAAAAATTGAATTGGCGACGGCACGCTTCGAGCCAAGTCACACACTAGATCCCCGCGTGCCGATCACCATCTGATACGTAGCCCCAGTTATAGTCGCTAACAATGCTACTTGCCACACAGACCGAGCCAAGTGTAAGGCAAACAATGAAAGAAATATCAGTGGGCAGCAACGGGCACAGCTCATACAACTCGCACAACTCATACAACTCATGCAGGTCTATGCTATGGGCCGTGCACGGTTAGACGAAAAGTGTTCCGGTCTGATTTAACAATTGTTAATAATAAATAGCTTATGCATTGGACACGCTCCAGCTGGACAGTTGGGCGTCACACGCAATCAAACGGCCCAAACATTCGAGCCACACAAAAAGACTTTGGGCTAAGACCCGAAAACAAAGAAAAGAAATTTCCTTTTGTGTTTAGACGTTGAATTCTTGGTGAAGTTAGGGTATACTGCACCGTCGGTTAGGAAATTATAGCTCAATCATAGACAATAGACAGTTGTTGGACACCTGACAAATGAGGCAATTGTTGATTGAGTAACCGCAATTCGCTTTAAGCTGCTCTTTATGCGGCTTAAGCAATGGGCTTTGTATGCCGCACAGACCTTAGCCGAGCGGGTATACTGAAATCGGGTGAATGCCTATTATGCCATATTATATATTCATTATTTAACAGATATATCTGTTTTACGAAAATGGATATATAGTCGACTATATAGAGTACTTTTTGGCTCCGTATGAATATGATTACAGGGTATCTGGCCGCAGTGTCAGCCTCTCACTTGCTGTTAGCCACAAAACTAATTGAACTAAATGGAACTGGTGCAAAAGCATTTGGTATAGCTAAGGTGTTCAAAGCAGCAGCAGCCATCGTCAGTTAATTGGGCTTAAAGGCCAGCTGTCCACACACAAAGTAGACAACAAAGCCAAGCTAACAATTTGCATTAAGTAAACCAAGTTAGGTTACGTCTGGCAAGATGTGCACAGCCTGGGGCCATTGTGGAGCTATCAAAAGTGAGTAAATACATGCATAGGCCTATCACTCACAGCCATTTGAGTCGAGACAAATTATACAAGCAAAAATATATCCATTGGGATATGAAATAGATCACACTGAAAGAGCACGAATTTCAAGACAAGTTTGCAGTGGAGTTAGGCATTTGATAGATGGAAGAGGAGCCATGGCTATCCATGTAGCTTAATGATTTTATGACAGGAATTTCTTTGATGTGGCTTTGAATTGATTTGATTATTATCAATCAAAACATAAACTGGACTTAACACACAAAACGTGAGTAGGTCATCCGTAGAGATATTTCAGTTCTATCATCAGCTTCGCTTTCGCCTTGCCACACCTGCTAAGCTGCAGCCATTTGAGAATACTCGGGCTGCAACTGTTGCAAGGAGAGCACAATTATATATCATTACTGGATTATCTAAATTTCGCTGATTAACTAGATTTGGCATAAAAGTTAGAGTTCTAAGTCGATTGCTTTTATATGAGTTTATTAAGCATAGCTTCGCGTCTAGTTCAACTGAATTTCCTTCTAAACATTGATTTATAGACAAATCTGATTGTGACAGACAGGAAAATTGCATTTGGTGTTGCTTTTGGTCACTTTCTCCACAATTTACGAATCACCCAATCTTTGACCAGAGGCGCCAATGGAGATTATAATTCCAAATAATCTTATAATTGTGCGCATATCGTGCTCCAGCCCTGGGCGATTGTCAATCAACGTCACGCTAGCCGCGATTCATCTAATGAATACGACATTGTTAAAGCCAACAGAGTATTGGGGTTACCTTCGACATATGCATATATGTCTTTATCTCTCTCTACATATATATCCATTCATAGATCGGCGGAACATGCGGAACTGCTACTGCAAAAAGTAAAAAATATAAATATATAAATAAATCTTTGGATTAATTGTTTAATATTTTACTATGAATTAAATGCGTTGTCGCTGTATTTCCACAACAAAAGCTACAAATATATACACCTGTTCAACTGGTTTTCGGACTTATTGATGCCTCGAGCGGTCATAATTAATATGTTTTGGGTTGGCCCATAAATTGGTGTTGAGCCGCCGTCATTTTTGCTCGAACACCTACCAAGGCTTCGAGTTTACTTTCTATAAGACACAAGCGATTGGTGGACCGGAAAAATGAGCAAAAATTCACGATTCAAAGGTTAACTAAATTGGTTTTTAATTATATTCAAAATTCCAATATGATAAACAAACAAATATTCTGTCGAAAGTTATATTCAAAAGATAGAAGCAGTTTTATTTAAATGCAGTTTTATTGAACTTTTAATGTCTTTTATCCAACAAGTGATCAGTTTAGAAGCAATCGTTGATGGAAGGCAGAGCACCGTTGCAGTACTTCCAGGTGGACCAGGCAGTCCAGCCCTGCTGGCGCTGGATCTTCTGGGCGCAACGGACGGAGTTGGTGATGTCATCGGTCAACAGGGCGTTGCAGCTGAGGGCGCACTCGTTGTAGGAGAAGCGACCGTTGGCAGGCTGGCACCAGTAGTAGTYGTTGATCTGGAAGATGCCGTAGTCGTTGGAGCCGTTGTAGTTCTCGGGGCCAACAACGCCGGTGCGGTAGGAGCTCTCGTGCTCGGCAATGCAGGTCCACTTGTTCAGCTGGTCACGGGGAACGCCCAAGTTGGCCATCTCGCGGGCCAGGGAGCAACGGTTCATGGTGCGACCGAAAGCGGGGGCGGCGAAAGCCAGAGCGAGCAGAACGATGAAAGCCTTCATGTTAACAATTTCTAGTAAACTGATGAGGAACAACTAGGAGCCTTGCCCTTTTATAGGGCATGTTATCACGAAACCAACTCAAGAGCCTTCAGTCTAGTGGACAAATAACTATTGCGCTGATAGCGATGTAAGTGCTCAGGGCTGGAGCTAATCAGATGCTTCACGTGTGTTACGTATATAGTAACTCTTAAGTGACGCATGGAATCTTAATCATATTGCCTTATAGATAGGGAAATATATGGCCGGGATGGATAGAGAGAGATGGATGAAGAGAGAGATATATATCTAGATATATATAGATAGTTAAACAGAAATTCTTAGTTTCAAAACTATCTTATAATCTCGCAGTTTTGTTGATCTCTCAAATATTTCCCCAATTGTTCTCTATTTTTGTATGGATGGGGTTCTGCTCAGTGGCTAGATTAGAGATCCGTCCGTTTGTCTGGTTTCTAGTCTCGCTCTGATATCATAATGAATATGATGGGCTTTGTTTATAATCCGTGTCTGACCCGCGCTGTCATTTGGAGCCGAGTTTCGTTCAACTTTACTTTCATGAGAGAAAATCTGCAATAAAACAGAAAAGGTTTATTTTTTGTTTTTGTCTTTTTTTATGAACACGCAACAAATTATTTGTTTGTTTTTCGTTTGGCAAAAGTTTCTAATTTGATGGTCTTTATTTATGGACGACACACATTGAATTAGATTAATGTCCATTTCAACTTAATAAGCCCGAAAAAGCTACAAACTCTCGAAAAACTCATTTGAAATTATTGTAATCAATCTCCAGTGCTTTGTTGTCTTTTTTTTTTAAAACGAAGATTTGAAAGTTGTTTATTCGCAATGATACCCGTAAGTAGACAATCAGTGGGCTCATATTAGGCTTTGGTCACCCTAGCTTCTACTTCTATACATTCATATTTGGATTTGGTCACACCAATTTATATATATTTTTCTTGGAACATCAATATTCATGTGTTTCACAACACTTTCCTTGATCAATAAAAGAACTCGGAATTAGTTCGCAGCTTTAGTTCGAGCTCCATTTATACTTAGAATTTGAAATTTTATAGACAACTCTTTATACATATTAAGTCATCTTTTCTTTGACCCATTCAGAGGGAATACTTTGCTTAGCTCAATTTTGGGGAACTGTTCTTAAGCTGTTCTATTAACGTAACTGTACATTCCTTTGCTATAATTAGACAATTAGTGTCGACTTTTTTGTATAAATGATGCATAATTGGTCAGCTCAAGATGCTGAAAGGCCCAACTCATGCATATGCGATGAGGTTTTATTTTTTCGAGAAATTCTTCTACTCCGATTGTAGAACTGTTAGCTGACCCATATACGTATGCTAAGCCAAGCTCTTAGCAGT